AAAAAGTACAAAAATTTCTTTGTCTAAATTCCGTCATTGAAATTTGGGGTCGAATGAGGGAAATAATTGAAAAATGACAGGGGAAAAGTACCAAGTGAGTGAGTAACATGGCATCATTATATAACTACTATACAGTACATCGATCGCGTATAAAAACTGATTTAATTGAACATTTCAAAGACCCAAGCAAGTGCAAGGAACTATAATATTGATTTCAAGATAAGTAATGAACGGGGTGAGTTAGAACTTGGGGTGGGTATTGGTGTGATTTCTGAAGTGTACACTTTATTCTGGAATGAACTTTCTATTTCAGTGACCATTGGGGATAGGGAGAGGGTTCCTTTTGTTAGGCATGACCATTTTGTTGAAGAGTGGGAGTCGGTGAGAAGAATACTTATGAAGGGGTTTAAATCAGTCTCCTATTTCCCTACCTTTCTGTCCAACGCATTTCTATGCTACTGCCTCTTTGGGAACCAGGTTCCAGACTTCCATTTTTATTGATTCATTTTCAAAATATTTATCACCACTGGAGGAAGAGTTTATTCTAGATGTTGTGATTAAGAATGACTGACTTCCAGATGATGAAGATGAGCTCAATGATTTTCTTGAGAGATATCAGCGTAGGAAAGTGGTAAATAATAAAAATATTGGCAAAGTTACTCTTAAAATTTCTAAGCAAGAATTAGTCCAGAAACCACATCTCATAATTGTTGCTTTACACCCTTTTTTAAAGCAATTACCAAAGAACTCGCAGTTCCAAAGTATTCCTGTCATTAAGGCCTTTTATGATTCTCGTTAGCCCACAGTAAAGACGTTGCTCTCTTGTTTGATATATCAAATCCATGCAGTGAAGGAGAAAGAGATGAATGTACGTTTTTGCAACTGTTTGTTAGAGGCATGGACATGCAAAACCTAGTACATTTTTCGCGATTTACAACCGGTATGGATATCATGGTTGGCACGAAGATAGAGGTTGGGTTTATTAAGTGTGAGGGTTTAGCTTCAAGACCTATTGCCCACACTTGTGGACCGCTTCTGGAGATTCCTGCAACATTTGCTAACTACGTAGAATCTAACCGGAATAACTGGGAAATGGACATTGTTTAACTTTATTATAACTATTAGAACATTTCCTAACGTTTTTAGGGAAGTCTGTGATTATATTACACACTGGTTAATATTAACACAATCAAAAGAGTACTGTCAAAGCTGAGAAGAATAGAATCTAAGCTTTTGCTTTCCTCTTTTGTAACCATTCCCAGATTAACGATTGTGATCGTTTGTTTCTCTGTTGCGTTTTAAGGTTTTTTCTTATGACTTTGGGGTTGGAGTATTTTATTCCTAATATATAAATAAGGCCCTTTACAAGTACATTTTGACCGAGGTAGCAGAGGTAAATCATAGAAAATCGTTTAGAAAATGTTTACAGCTCTGCCTTTAGTTCTGATGGTCAACCTTATACTTGTTAACTTAGTTCAACCGCTTGTATTGTACCTTTTGTGGAGTTTGTTTCACTTTTGACTTTTCACTGATTTCTCTTATGATTTGTGCTTCGCCAAATGAGTTTTGGTACTGTTATAAATGCGCTACAGAAGACAAGACAGAGCGGGGACAGAGCAGACAGCATTCCCGACTGCAAAACTGAAGAACTGACAGACGTACATTTTAAAATGACTAATGTTCAAATTAACGGGTCTTAGAGTTCATTTTCTACAAAGTAAACTTTAAACTACCTTTGTTGAGTTCAAGATCTTACATCTACACGTTGCATGTTGCACATACAGTGTACAATCATGTACTACATATAGTGTGTTAGATATGTTTTATGTTAGTCATGAAACTGCTCCTTTTTTAAGAGATCTTTTGTAGTTGTTCACCCTTAATACTATTAAGCTTGGTGTGTTGTTTACAAGTAATAGCCTAGAAATAATAAAAGCTGTTGAAAGTTTGCAACTATTTCCTTGCAATAACGTGATATCCGAAAAGACTATCAAATGTCAATTTTTCTACTTCTTTGATCAACGTCACATAGAGTTCAACTCCTTTTTTGACACCGTGGTAGCAGACCAAGTGATCATGAATTCATTACTGTCAAGGCAAACCCTTTAAACTCTTTACTAAAATCTTCAGCGCACATCGTTGATTTATTTAAAAACTCATCAATTTCACCCGAGACAACCGGTACTAATTATAGTCTTCTGAATCAAATAGATGAGGAAGAAAGAACATACAGTTAGGCCTTCCTCTAGGGCCACTGCTGTTTGATGCTATTAGCAGTTGATTCCACTTTTCAGCAACTTGGTGAAGCCATCACTTAAGATTTGCATGAAGCAAAATCGAATACATTCCTGATGAACAGGATCCGAACCATTAAATAGTCCAAAATCTGACGAATTGATCCATCAACCAGGACAATCCTTCACCAGTTGTGACCAATAAGCCTCAATTCTTTGATTAGCAGTGGATCTGCTGACCAGCATCCCAGGCCAGCATTTTCATCATCATGGGAGGATCTAAGGAAAGTGTGTAGTGCTTCAACCAAACTGTTTTCGGTTCCATCGACTGACCTGATCTTCCTATTACAAAAAGTGTGATTTTAGCTTGTAGATATGTTACTCATAACGCACTCCGCATTCGCTCAGTGCAGGATGTTTTGGAACATCTGAACATACTAAAAGAGAAGATGAGCTTACTATAAAAATGGCTTCACAACCTCCTGAAGAGTCGGTCAGAACCTCTCCGTTGTGACAGCTTATGCAGTCAAAAGATCTCGTAAGTGACCACCTCGGGAACCCATAAAAGTGGTCGCAGCTAGAGCTGGTTATTCACCAGCAGTTTATGAGTATTTTTGCGTAATTATATACGTCATGAAGCGACCATATGATCTTATGATTGAAAGCTTAAGCTTATATATTTGAGGGCGCGCGTCGCTTACACTTACTAACTTGAGATCAGGTTCCATTTTCGTGTCGCTTCTATTGTAAAATTCTCGTTTTAGCGCGAGCACTTAAGAGAGAATGTATAGTGTATGAAAGCTCCTAAAATAGAGCATGATCTTTGGATACTTTGAGCAAAAATCTCGACATAATTTATGTTATTGTTCATTCAAAATATTTCTCCGTTTCTGATTGGCTAAAATCCCACGCATAATTCATCATTATTCACCATAACCAGCTACTGTCGACCAAATTTGGAAGAATTTTGCGATATGTGAAAAATGACGTCAACTGTGCAGCAAATTACCAAAATATTGAACAGTTAACCGAGAAGACCTGGGGACAAGGTTGAGTTGTTTTGGTAGTGAGTAGAAGAACATTTTCACTTGTTTCATGAGGATGAAATACGCCAACTATTGGCTAAAACATAGCAAGTACCTGGCGCAGAGCTAAAATAAATACTGACCCCTTTCCTGGGTTTCTAAGTGATTAAGACAGGATATTGGCGAGTTCCATTCTACTCGAATGAAGCCTCGAAACTTGGGAAGTTTTTTTTATTATTTTTTTATATTAAAAATCTATTTATTAGGAAAAATCTGACCGATTTCCATAAAACGGTGGAAACAGGCGTGGATCCGCGCCTGAGAACAGCAAAAAGATAACTCAACGGACAACATCTGCTATTTGGAGAATATTTTGCAGAACTGAACAACCCTTTATCTTCTAAACTTGCTGATAAACACTTTTGAAGATGAACTTAACATCGATGGAGGTAAGCATGTTTTAGCTTGTTTTGAATTTAGGAATAATTATTTTGAATGAATTATAAAACAATGATTGAATTTGGCTTTCGTATTATCTGAAGAATTATGGAGATCTCGGAAGGTGTTATCCGCCTCGGCCTCTCCTCGATCTTTATAATAATATTCTTCAGATAATACGAAAGCGGAATTCAATAATTGTTAATTGTTGCCAGAACCAGATTAAAAAAGTATCAGTATTTCCCCCAGAAGGGGGTTCGCTCTTGGGAATTCTTAGTGGGGATGTGCCTCCTGTTTCTCCAAATCATGAACTCTTTTCAGACCAAAAAATGTCATTTTCCACACCCATTTTCAGACATGAAATAACTTAGATTGGAACTCCAACAAGTCCATTTTGAATTCACATATCTTTCTTTCTTTTTCATTTGGAATTGAAATGACAAATACGTTCATGCATTCCTGTAGTTCCCTTCGAAAACCACATCCGATTCCAGACTAAACTGTTTAAAGCCTATACCCGTTTTCAGACCGAAAAGGGCTAAACCCACAACCTTTGGCTCAGCACAGACCTATATGGCTTATATAAGGGAGAACCACCCCCGGGAGTATTTCATTGAATAAATTTCTTTACGAATCATAGATGTATCTGTACAAACAATATTGCATAATCAAATGGTGACTTCTGAAATTAGGGAATAATTTCAAGTGCTTTTTGTCCAAATTCTAAAAATGTAAGACAAATTATGCCGTAACTATTTTCCCGAGGCAGTATACCTTTTATAATTTATTTCTTAGTGATATGAAATTCATGGTAGCTTGAGAAAACAACTGACATTTCGTGACACCATCACAATAAGTTTCCCTGTCACTGGCCTTTTTTGTAGCTGGTGTTCATTGAGTAAAATATAGATGTAGACCATACCAAGGTACTATACAACTATTAACTTAATAATTAACGATTTTCAAAATTCTTTAGCTATCAGCTTAGCTATTGGCAGTCCTAATTTCAGTATTGATGGGAGAGTCCTATTGTTTGTTTAATTAGTTCACTTGTATCCTTATGGACAGAATTGAGGCGACAACACTCAGTCCAATATTTCAATACTGTGACCAACTTGCCATGTTAACTTAAAGTAAATTACATACATACAGTCCATGATTATATAATTTATTATTACCATAGTTTGTATTTATGTTATTTGCTTTAAATTAATGTGGCATTAGTTAGTCAGAGTATTTTGAAGCAATTAATTTGGTTAGGAAGTCAAAAATTATGTGTAATAATATTAATATTAAATATTGATATTGATGCATCTAATAATAGTAATACGTGTTCATTTTCCCCCTTTTCATTGACTACTTTTATAGTTTAGAGGATGAAATATGTCGTCCGAGGCTGCTAACAGTTCAAAGGATTACTATGGAGACCCACCTCAGCTTCTTTATGATGTCCCATCTTCTAGTGGTATTCAGACAACAAACAAGGAACCAAAATTGCCTCTGGATATTCTGTTGCTGACAGTTGAGAATGATGAGTTTTTACCTTGTTACCAGCAACTTAAAAATCCATGCAGATGGTGGTTTGATGGCCTTGGTTATGTTTACTTTGAGGAAGAGGATGAAAGTCAAAAAGAGAAAGTGAAAATTGCATTGTTGAAGTGCTATGGTGGAAGTGGTGCTCCCGGTGGTTCTCTGATTTCTGTGAAGAATGCTGTCACTGTGCTAAGACCCAAGGCAGTTATATCTGTAGGAGCCTGCAGTGGTCTTAATCCTGCGAAAACAAAGTTAGGAGATGTCATTGTCTCATCTAGATTATCAACTTATACATCCAAAGTAGTAATGTCTGATCAAGAGCAATCAACTGGCTTGAGAACTTATGCCAGCAAACATTTTCTTAATGTCATAAAGAATTGTGCTGATGGCTGGCAGGCTCCTTTGAAGAATCCCGAAGCAAGTCAAGCAGTTGAAGTACATTGTGGTGAAATTCTGAGTGGTCCAGAGCAGATCCAGGCTGAGTATCGACGTGATCAACTGGCTAAGTGCAACCTGATGGCAATGGCTGTGGAGATGGAAGGCGAAGGTGTTTGTCATTTTTTGTGTAATCACATTCCAGAAACTTCCTGATATTACTTGATATGCATATGAGTGCACAACTCTTTAGTGCAATGACTCGTAAAATGCACGAAAAACTCAGGAAAATGTAGTGAGAATGTAATGGTCACACTGAGGTACTGATGTCTCCTTGTGACACTCCCTTCCCATCAGTCTCTTTTTTGACTCAGTGCTAGAGTAACTAGCCTGAGTTAATTGGTACATAGTGTCTGTTTAGTACATAATTATAATAGATCAAAGATGACTTAAAGATAATTATGTTTTAAGAGCAAAAAACTAGGTTGGTGAGGGCATTGGAGTCATAGAAGGGTGTAGATTGTTCATAATTATTTTCCCCAGAGTTTCACCATTGTTCACATTTTTGTCTCAGCTGTGGGGACCTTACATTGCTTGTAGTTGCTTGTAGTTGTAGGAGAGAACCCTGGGAACAAGGTGATGTGATGTGCTCTTACAGTGCTCAGTGGGCCCTTGCACCTAACTTTTTTTTCTTTGGGATTACAAAATCTTAGTTTTTTCATAAAATAATTATTTCCTAGACAGGCTGGATTCCACAGGTTTGGAGTTTTGAACTCTCTTCAAGTTTTCTTAGAGCACAGCCTTTTAGAACGGATCAATTACACACCGTGCTGAACAAAACATTTTTCTGTGCCATGTCAGCTACCACGGTTTATTCTAGAAATTAGCGAATGAGGGTCAAATACGCCCCTTCTGTAATTTTAGGGGAGCCCTTTTTCAAGAAAGGGGGAAGGGAAGCTTTGCCGCCATTATGGAACATTCTGGGAAACTGAAAAAGTCTGGGCTCAAATTACTGCAGAATCCCGGATGTTTTGTCTGATGAAATAATGACTCAAAAAGAGAAGAAGAGAAAGGCAATTGAGGCAGTAAGAGTCTATAAAAGTTCAAAGTAAGTTTATAGATCTGCCGTCAAATCAGTGTTGTTGTCAGTTACGTTTTCGAATACTTTATTTCAAATAGTACTTATCCTTCGGTCTATATTTTTTGCGCCCCCTTTGACGCGGCAACGTAAATTTTATGCGTCTTTTTTTTTTCCAAATTCAGGAAATCCCACAAGGCTGCGCTCTAATATAAACCCTGACTGCTATATGTGTCTGTACCGAGAAAGATCATAGGAAACGACCATGCCAGTCACAAATAGTGGGCACTTTATTCAGTACGTTGTTCAAAATGGAATAAAGTACGGTACAATAATACTTTAATTACCTTGACCTGGCTCTTGAATACATGTGTAGTTGTGTCTGATAGAAAATGTTCAACTGTTTGTTTGAAATTCAAACATCAAGTTCAAACATCATGTTATGATTGGCTGGTGTGATATCTTAACGACCCAATACATGTAAATGTAAATGTAAATGATGTTAGAAAACATATGACAGACACTTGCATCCATCAACTGAAGTCAGACTTTCCTCTGTTAAGTCACTTCCCTACCTCTGAAAGCAGAAGAGTTACATAACTCTGTTTTGGATTACAGGTGTTTTCACTGCAGCATTTGACAGCGGGATTGAATGGCTGATCGTCAAAGGAATAGCTGATTATGCAGCTAGCAGCAGTGCTCAACAGAATGCAAAAAGTTGGCTTCGCTGTGCTTGTGTGATGGCCGCTTCACTTGTTATGCATATTTTGAGTAATCCCACTGTTTTCCGTTCCTGGCCTCATTATAAAGGTAATTTGACAAAACCCTAGTCTTGTTTTGTTTGTTTGTTTCTATTTTGTTGCGTTTTTTTTATGTATCTCAACTTCAAAAATGCTGTTAAAGCGAAAAGTATCCTGTGCCACCGACGAAACTTAATTCTGAGGATGAGACACAAGTTTCCTTTGTTCAACGACAACCATTTCTTTCATCATTTTTGTCCTAGTTAATTTTTGCAGTATTTAATGAAAACGGCACCAATAAAAAAGCTCTGCATGACAGTGTACTTCCCCTCTGCCTTCTCTCCAAACCTTGAATTAATCCCTTTGGTCATCACCATGGCAATCTGCAGTATTAAGGCTGATGTCAACTATAGGGATAATGATACGTTAAGGTGCTCAGACCAAACCTATATTGAACATAATTTATTACTTTCTGATCAGTGGTATGACACAAATTCATTTCTCAGGAATGCTCGGCAAACCATAACTGAGTAGTTTCTTTTCGTTCTTTCTTTATCTATTTACAAATTTGCCCCCTGTTGTAGGTTCTTTTCCTAATTACCCAACCCAAACGCTATAAGTATAACACTTCATATCCTAAGAAAGTAAGATTTTTAAAGTTGGTTTTTCAAACTAAGAGTGTCCTTTTGTGCGCAAGGTGTTCGCAAGACGATGATTGATCATGAAATTAATTTTACTTTCTTTGCACCAGAAAGAGTGGCAGGCATAAAACGCAGCGCAGAGTGTGTGAAAGTCGAGGGAAGTGTTAAATCTCTGAAGTCAGACCTCGCTGATGTGCAACTGCGATTAACACAAGTGGAAGAAAAACAGAGCTCCGCTGAACCTCCAATAATTCCAGGTTAGAAAAACTATTGATTGACATTAGTTCAGCCGGAATATTCCGTAAATGATCCCCTCCCTTCATAAGCTTCTTCGAATATAACCCCCTTTTTTTCAAACCAAAAAAGCCTCCCACTATTATAATAAGACCTTCAGGTGGGGGGGGAAATTATATCTGGGAATTGTCATCAATTTTCAATAAACCATACCAAAAGAATTGAACGACACTAGCCCGTATGTAAGTTTTTACTGATTAGTTTTCTGTGAACACTTAGCTACAGCATGAAATACAGTGTACGAACTGTTTATTATTTTATACAGCAACTATAAGCTGATGTTTGTTGATACTGATTTGCCCATGAGGTTTTCAAACCGCTTTGCATGAATGTATGCCACTAAAGCCAATAGAAGCGTTGGGGCTTATTTTCAGAATTTTACGGTATTCAAGTTATTAGTGCTCTAAATGCACACAAGAACGTCTTCAAATAGACCTTGGCAACACAGGTGATTGTTTGTTTATTTGTTTACTTATGTATTTATTTTCGCAGAGTTTGCCGATTGTGAATCAGACATCAGGTTTTTTGCCGCGCGTTGCCATGAAAATACAAGGCAATGGCTGTTTCAAGATTTTGAAAAATGGTTCAGTGATCCTGGTGATTCCAGAGCTTACGTTCTCCTGGGTGATGCAGGTGTTGGCAAAAGTGTTATAGCAGGAGCCCTAGCAAAGCGTAAAAGGGATGCTGGATGTTTGGCTGCTGCTTATTTTTGCCGTCATAAAGATAGAAGAAGAAATCACCCCTTGAGTCTTCTTGCAACTCTCGCACGTGATCTCTGTAAATGCAGTAGTGAGTACAGTAGCATAGTGGGAGGGGAGGAAGGCGTGAGAGGGTTGATAACTAATTCTGAATTTAAACTTGAAGTTCATGAGTTATTTGCGAAATTGCTAGAAGAGCCTTTAGCTAAGTGCAGGTCTCCTCCGAATCGCAGATTAGTTATTATTGACGCTTTAGATGAGACAGAGTACGGGTCCCGGAAAGATGTTCTTAATGTAATCAAGTTAGATTTCCACCGTCTTCCAGAGTGGCTTGTGTTCTTTATCACCAGTCGTCCCGAAGAACAAATACAGAGCAGACTGAGAAGGTGCAAACCATGTATAAAAATGTGCGCAGGAATTCATACTGATAGGGGTAACTTCTATCAACATCACGAGAAAGACATCCAGCGATATTTAGAGAAGAAAATAGATTTCTCCGTTCTCTCCTTTTCGCTCGAAGACGTCACAATGAAGTGCGGTGGATTGTTCTTGTACGCATTCTTCATTGCGAAAGAACTCAAAGATTCAGCAAATTCAGGTGAAATTAGTCAGTTGAGTCAGCTGAGTGACTTTCCAGGGGATATTGAAGAGTTCTTTTTGAAAAATTTCCAGCGAGTGTTTGACAATGTAGGGTGCGATCTCTACAGGAAACTTCTTGGCTGTATCATGGCTGCACCGTCTCCTCTTCCTGCATCATTTATCGCGTTCGTTCTCAGAAGAGAGAATTCATCTCGTAAAGAACATGATGTAACAGACGCTATTTCACAGTTTGTGATTGTACGAACTTGTGATCGGACAGTGACCTTCCTTCACAGTTTGATCCCAGTGTGGTTATCAGACAAAGGTAAAGCTCGGACGTTGTTTGTTGACAAAACGTCTGCGGGTGAGTACCTCAAGACTTCTTTCAATGAAATCCTCTCAGCTGTTGTAGATGTATCATCCTCAATAACGTCTGTAAGTATTGCTGATGATTTGCAGAACTATGTTTTGCGTTTTGCCATTCGATATTTGTGTCATTGTGGTGACAAGAATTCGCTCGACAATGTTTTTAAGTTCTTGACCTGTTATACTTTCTTGCAAAAGAGAATTCAAGTGCGCCAAATCGGTAGCTTTAGGGGAATCGAAGAAGTGGAGGACGAATTGTTGCTAGCAGCTGGCTGTTTCACTGGTAAGGAGAAACCGAAGGGAAATGTCCTTAAAGCGATCAAGGATACGTTTTATTCATATGACCAAGTTGCTCTTGAAGATTGCCCAAATGTTCTCCTGTTTTGCATTGGCAGCTCCTCCAGCCTTGTCCCAGAAAACGTCTGGTCAACCCCTTGCCTGTTAAACGAGACCATGAGTGATGGCGTAGGCGACTCCTTTGCCGTATCTTCTGATAAGAAGACAGTGGTCGGGGTACTGAGGAATCAGTATCTTTTCTTCGCGGATACAGCTACTTTAGAAACAGTTGGAGGCCCTTTCGAAATAAGTACGGATGTCATTGAAGAAATATATTTCATAAACTTTTCCCCGGACGACAAGTTTATATATTTTGGACGACTCGACAAATGGTTTTCCGTTCAGCAAGAATGTGTGGTTGACTTACCTGTGTTCTCAGGGAACTCCCTTATCTATGGGGAAGGTTTTTCTTTGGAGGATGGAACACAGTACTTTTGTGTTTGTGCTTACAATATCCCTGGCCTTGATTACTTTCCTTGTCAAGATAAGTGTTGTATAGCAGACTTATTTGCCATGTGGGCTCAATTGGAAATTGACGAGGACATGAATGGCATGACGTGTACCTATGAAAAATTAGCAGACGCAATATCTAAAACCGAGATACCTCTAGGGAAACCAACCACAAACCTACTGGAGGTTCTTGGAGTCGACCCAGGGTTGTATGAGGCGAATGAGTCTCCTAGTTCCTACGACCCTTCTTGTTGCTGTTGTCGCAGGTTAACTGAATTAACCGAGACAGACAAAGAACCATCCTTGACTGTTGTTCGTCAATGTGTACTTGAGTTTTACCCTCTGTTATTTCAAAATCAGGTTTGGGATTTTAACACAGGTAAACCTTTCTTGCACTTGTTTTGGAACGAGGATCGTGAGATGTCATATGATTATTATAAACGTCACCTTCCTTGTAAAATAGGTGAATGGAATGAATTTAATTGTCCACCTCATCTTGGCCCGAGTAAGAAGGTATCTGTTTGTAACATCGCAGTGGACAACGCTGTTTGGGTTTTAAAAAAGCTTTGCGACCAACAACTCAACGGTCTCTGAGTGAAATTCTCATGAAATTGAAGAAGATGCTTAGCACTTGAAACGTGACGATTTTGATGAATCCGTTTGTTTTTAAGTCTAATTTACACTTGGATAACTTCCAAGAAACTTTAATCTTCCTAAACTGGGAATGACGCGCGGAGGCTTGAAAAGGAACTTCATACTAAGCAGTTGTGTTGCGGGTAAAATTCGTTCTCGAGTTAAACCAGTATTCAACCCAGGTTGTAGAGGTTGCGAGGGTTACAGAACCCTAGCCAAAATCTTGATCTGACAACAGATTTTATCTACGACATGTATATATTTAGGTTATTCATGGCAATTTATTGCATGTATTTTTATCACTAATTAATCTCCATCATTGCGCCTGTAAGCTCTGAGATGTGACTTTGTCGAAGCACGGTTATTAAAGTGGAATGGTTATGAAACCTGTTTGTTAGCTTTTTTGGATCTGACGTTGCGCAAAGTTCAATAGAATTCCTATCATTGTGAACTTTCTGACCAATACAAACCTCGATTTAATTTATTCAGAAACAATTTGTGAATAAAGGATTATCCACGATAAGGGAGCTCCCAACATAAACTACAACACCCTTGCTTTCACCTTTGATGTTTGCCCGCTTTCGAAACCAGTCTCCTTTACTAACTATGGTCGACGTGAAATCAAACAATAATGATAAGTGAGTGATATTTAAAACTAGCAGCATGTTTCAGTCTGAAGTGTAGCGCTATCCGCTGGAGCATCATTTCAATCGTTATCTGTCACAAAAACGAGAAATCGAAAAAAGAAAAGAAATCAGAACCAGGAAGTGTTTTTTGTAACCAACAGTAGTGGTGTAGGGACCGAATTATCCTTTTTTAGGGAATCTCATTAACTTGCGGAGGAATACATTAACGCCGATGATTAGAAAATAGGAAACGCGTTCACTGGTTAATTCACGGTGTCTAAGGAATTAAGTCAAACTCGCCTGTGACTTACAATCACCGAACTGAAACGTAATTATGCACGTTCCACATGTTGTTGCATGTTGTTGCGTGTTTTTGGGAGTTGCTGCGCAAAGCCGGTTTGAAACTGGTCAAACTTTAGCTACGCGTTAACAGACGCAATAAACTCAAACGTTATTGTAGGGCCAACAATGTTGGGAGTTGTTGCGTCCGTTTTCACGTAGGTTTACACTAATACAACTCGTAGAAATTTAAAAGTACATGGCAGAACGAATGACATTTTGAAAGAAATCCCACTTTTTCAGGAATTTATTTTGTTCGCCTTTTTCAATCTTGGTGTATTTTTCTTATAATAGTTTGTTGCGATCTAGAGATATGAAGTCATTAAACTGTAATTTATTTTCTAACATCGGCGTTAGTGTAAAGTACTTTCCGATACTTCGTTTAGGGCTAAACAGTGACAAGAAGAGTGAAATCTACCTTCTAAAACATCCAAATTTGAAGTTTTTTCTCTCTGTGGTAACTAAACCAGTGTTGAAAATCTACCCAGAGAGAGCAAGCTTGAGTGCATTCTATAAACTCAAGTGCCAAATTGCATGGATATCGGGAAGTATTGACCGCCAGAAACTGAAAGAATTGCAGATTGATTGACTCGCAGATTAGAATTGCGAGACACATAGGAGATATGGAGACGTCATGATCATAGGCAGGAGGAAGTGGAAACTTAAGTATCGTAGTGAATGCGTGAGAGCACTGAGTGAGACAAGCGGCTTTTTTCACCGACACACGCTTGTAGTTAGTGACATTGTATCAAGGGAGTGCCGGCAACTTACATTGTACTTCCACTTCTTTCACATTCACAAGACGTGACGATGATAGTACAAGCAAGCTAGAGAAAATCACCTACGTTGTCACTGCTAGGAATGTCTCAGTTTAGTTACAATGTACTGCCGTTTGCTATTTCAAACAACTCAGGGGATGGGAGATCTTCACTTAGGCTTCCTACAATCTTTGGGTGAGAACACAACATGACAAATCGGCGACGAGGCAATGGCAGAGAAGAAGAAAAGCACAGGAAAGTTTCATCAGGCATGGCGAAGTATCGTTGACGACAATTAGCCTTGGCATTCTTGAGGTCGTATTGCCGGGATGTATATTTCTCGGCATCCCAATAGCAGTAGCCGCTTTCTCAGCCATATTGCAACACTTTGAGTGTAAATGCACGAAAAGCCACAATTTCCCCTCATCTTAAAATTTCGTCAAGAACAGTGGAGGCATGGATGGCTTATAGCGATTAACACATCGGACTTAAGAACTGCTTTTGTTAGCTTAAAATGTCTAACGCACTAGGATCCAACCGGTTTAGGTAATAAGGTGCGGAGGGGATTTATTCGAACCTTCGAAACTCCCTCCCCCTTACCTTCTCCTCCTCCAGCTCACGGGCCTGTTTTTACGTAATCTTAACCTGCAATTCCCATGTTACAAAAGAGAACGATTTCTATGCTAGTGACTGAGAAAGGGCTGGTCAGGGAATTCTTTCATAAAGTAATATTTTCAGGTGACTGGCGCATGGTTTAAATTTTTGGAGTTTATCATTGGATGTCTGCGTATAACCAGAGGTTAACTAATCAAGGCCATAAGATATTCAGCAGCAAAATTGCACCTCAAGAACGGAAGGGTCTCTGGGTATTACTCTTGTGAACCGGTTGCGAAAGCATTCGAGTTCCCTGCATTTGAGTCAGCGATGAGGAACTGCCGGATCGCTTTCGTGTCTTCTTACACGCTGTAGTGGATATTTTCAAGGGTGTTTCTGGCACACATTCCATCAAGGCAGAAGAAATCACAAACCTTACACGGCCGCAACGCAACATTCACTAGCCTAGCAACTTTTAGCTTACTGATACGCGATTTTTCGGCGTATTAGGGAGCATGCGCCCTGAGGAGTCAGCTGGCTGGTAAACGTAATCTTCACTTAACCCGAACTTTGTTTCGCCAGTAATGCAGAATTTTTGAGTTTTTTTTTTCGGATGCGACTGGTTGTTGTGCCGTGTGTTCGTACTACTAAATTAATTGAAAGCGATAATTTCAAAGATTAAACGGTTGACTGGTGACCGAGTTACTCTCCCCAATGGTACAGTCATATCATATCTGACGTGCTCTTTGCCGTGGCTCTTTGCCGTGGCTAATTTACCTCATCAACTAGGCTGATAAAACCAAATTTGCTACCAGTGTAGTGATAATCGTTTTTTCAGTTGTCCCGGGTAGAAGGCTCACCCGCCTACCTAGGTTATAGCTAAGATTCTGTTCGTTTTCCCTTCAATTACCTTAAAGGACAGGATACAATAGGATTCAATAATATCTCTCTGCAGTATTTTTTAATTATTTACATTATACTGTACACGTAACATTAGTTTAATTATGTGTTTTGGAGTATGTTACGACCATTGTAGGTGAATTTTATTACACTTTTGTTAATCTATTAAATAACATTTTTAAGGTAGAATTCTTGTTTAGCGCGCTGTGAAATTTGCTGCATTTTTATATATGTTCAATTGTGTCACTGAGTAGAACTATATGATTTTTCGGCGCTTGCACTCTTTGGAAGTGAAACGGTGGAGTTTACAAGATGATAGTTTTTCGAGAAGCCTCGAATCTTTAATCCTTGCGGTCTTTTTTGAGTGCTTTAGTTATTGTTATTGTTTTTATTAGAAAGTGGTTCGTCAGCACTTCATTTTACAAAAATAGCAAATATATACTTTTATATATAATGTATTCTGTTTCAGTTTCAATTAAACTGAGTGAAATACGGAATTTATTTTTTCTCCATTTTGCTTACTGCATTTTAGTTTAATATGTATCGAATATGAAACCGGGCAGGAATATTACTAGTCAGTCATTTTTCAGTAATTTTCATCCTGGGCGACCCATTTGCAGGTCAATGGTGTCAGGAGAAACGACGCTACCGTTCGCGCCATTTTCCCGCGCGTTTCAGACTTTTCCTCTCTCCACTAGCTACTCCTGGGTTTCCGAGGAAGTGTAGTTTATATATATCCATTTTCATTACCATTCCCTTCCCCGAGTCAGTTAATATGCAGAGACCGGGAATGTGGATCTCACTTTTGAGTCCTTGACTAAAATCCTAGATTCTTAGTTGCTGTATGAGATATTATAGTAATAAAATTTTGTTGGTCTAAAGAATGTTGTATCGTTTTCACCTATTTAACGAAATTTGGTGGAGACTGTTTATACCTCTTACATACCGTCAACTATATCTGTTGCGGACTCCCTAGGGGCCGAGAATTAGTGTTCGTAATCACTAAAGACCAAATAACTTGAGTTTATTTCAGGACTACTGAAACAAAATCGCCGGACATTTGGCTGATGTTCGTGTTCGTGTGGTGCAGCTACGCGTAGGCTATTAGTTTCGGAAGGCGATAGTTGATAGGTTTCTCTAGCCCTTCATTTTAAAGCGTTATGTTTTAAGGTAGTTTTTCCAAGTGTCCACACCTCACAACAATAGGAAGCTATAGGGAAAACCGATATTCTAAGAATTCTCAGTTTTGTTTGAGGATCTTGACCATTCTGTTAGAACTTCAACTTTGATAACTTGTTTGTTACCATAACAAGCCTCCTTCTTATTTCCTCCGTCCCATCTCTATCTCCAGATAGATCCCAAGTAAACCTTTTTTTTTGTATTTTTTCACCATTCACTTTTATATCTTTCTCGATCTTCCTTTGTTTTTTCAATCTTCATAAGCTTACCCTTTTTTGCATTTAAATTCAAGCATTTCTCACCACTCTGTTGGCCTACTATCTCAACTAGATAAGGTAATCCCCTACCAAAGGATCAGTGTGATGAAGACACGGTTAAACTTTACGTCCAATTTTTTGTAGACCAAAATAACCCCAAATGTAAATATTAGTGTAAGTCAGAATGAGTTGATCTACATCAGAGATTTTGAAGCCGTTCAAAAAAAGCACACTCGTGTTTTCGCCTCGAGTTTTTAAACCTGATAATACACTCCTGCTCGTCTTTTAGACGACAGGGCTCAATAACG